TGCACGCTACCACGCCCGGCTCATTTTTGATTTATTGTAGAGATGAGGTCTCGCCAAGTTGCCCAGGTAGGTCTCAAACCCGGGGGCTCCGGCAATCCACTCACCTCAGCCTCCCAAGGCGCGGGATTACAGGCTGAACAAGGCTTCCAGGAGATACTGGGTTGTGCCTTAAGTGCAAGAACTGCCTCCGTAGACCCATTTGCCCAATGGCCAATCATCAAGTGACAAAAGCAACAAAAGTGACCTTCAGTTAAGTCCTTTAAGTGTTTATAGTAATGTCGTGTTGCATGGGATGGTTTTTTTGGGGCTTTTTTGAGTTGGAGTCTCACTCTGTCGCCCAGACTGGAGTGCAGTGGCCGCTCCCGGCCACTGCAGCCTCAACCTGCTGGGCTCTGGTGATCCTTCTGCCTCAGCCTTCCAAGGAGCTGGAACTACAGGCGTGCACTACCACACCCGGCTAACTTTTTGATTTATTGTAGAGATGAGGTCTCGCCAAGTTGCCCAGGCTGGTCTCGAACCCACGGGCTCAGGCAATCCACTCACCTCGGCCTCCCAAAGCGCTGGGATTACAGGCTGAGCCACCGAGCCCGGCCGGGATGGTTGTAACAGTCCTTGAAAGTGTTTTTACCCCCAACGTTTGACTTTCCACCTGACTCCCCTCCAGCCCCTTCACTGTCTCCCCACGCTGGCTCAGCAGAGACCCATGTTGCCAGGTTTCATGACATAAACCAAAAGCATATGCAAAGAGTCAAGGCTGTACAAGCACGTGGACAGGCTTTCCCATTAACCATTTTTTGATGCTGTTTTTTAACTCTTTTGTGTTAATTTAATTCATGAAATAAAATTGTGTTAATTTAAATTGGGCCATGTGTATCAATGATGATACCGCTCCTGTAAAGAAGTCTGCCAGCTGAGAACACCTGTCACAGACATGTGCACGTGAGCAAAAGACAGACCTTTTGTCTGCTTTGAATGGCACTGACCACTCAAGACAAGCAAGGCATCTGAGGTTTGAAAGATATTTCAAATGCTTATTTTTTTTTATTGGAAAAAAATAGTTTACTTGAAAAGTAAATTAGAGAGAGAGAAAGAAAGAGATTCACCTTTCCAAGGTAGAGAAGGGGGCCAATGTCAAGAAACATGGTGATGACCATAGCTCAAAGAGCACATGGCCACACCAGAGTCTAATAAGAAAATGGGCTCAAATGCTTATCTCATTGGGTCGTTGAATAAATCCAGGCAGAGGACTGGTTACAAATTTGTTGGGAGAGAGAACTACTACTCAGAAGAAAATTCTCATTTTCTTTTTTTTTTTTTCTGAGTTGGAGTCTCACTCTGTCGCCCAGGCTGAAGGGCAGTGACACACTCACGGCCACCCCAGCGTCAACTTGATGGGTTCCGGCGATCCTTTCACCTCAGCCTTCCAAATAACTGGAACTACAGACATGCACTACCATGCCCAACTAATTTTTCACTTATTGTAGAGACAAGGGCCCACCAAATTGCCTGGGCTGGTCTCGAACCCGTGGACTCAGGCAATTCATTCGTCTTGGCCTCCCAAAGTGCTGAGATTACAGGCTGAACCACTGAGCCCAGCCATGAACATTCTCATTTTCAAAGAGGTGTCGACTCAGGGAATAAAATTCACTTTAAACTCAATAACTGACTCCACCTTTGTTAATATTATAGAACGAGCATCCTAGTCACACGGCACAAATGTAATTTCTAAACCTTGAAGGAAAACTGGCTGTGGACCCAAGAGCTTTTGAGGATGCAGGATGAGAGAAAAAGAGGTTTTTTTTTTGGTTGTTTGTTGTTGTTGAGTCTCATTCTGATGCTCAGGCTAGGGTGCAGTGGCACAGTCATGGTTCACCACAGCCTCAACCTCCTGGGCTTGAACAATCCTCCAGCCTCAGTCTCCCGAGTACCTGAGACTACAGGTGTGTGGCACCACACCTGGCTCCCTTTTTAAATTTATTTGTAGAGACGAGGTCTCGCTATGTTGCCTAGGTTGGTCCTGAACTCCTGGGCTCAAGCAGTCCTCCCGCCTTGGCCTCCCAAAGTGCTTGGATTGCAGGTATGAGTCACCACTCCCAGTTGAGAAGACATTAAAGGTATTTGCAAATCACTTGCCTTAAACAGCACTAGCCAAGTTGGGGGTGGGGGGTTCTACGGAAGTTAGATTTCTAATCACTCCAATTCTTGTCATGAAAGGCAATTTCCAGGTAGTCTGTGGTTTCATAATCATCTGCTAAGAGTTATAACCACAACCTTGAGACTGTACATGTTTGTTATAGGAAACAGCTTTAGGCAGAATGCTGTACAGACTTCTGACAGCTCCTTTAATGTTGTAAACCATGTATGTCATGGGAGGCTGCATTTTCTCATCAGCAATTATTTTAATTAATTTGCTGGGTCATCCTCAAGCTTGTTAAATGGCTGAACCAGAACAAAAGTGAAAACCCTTGCTTACGTTCAGAAAGAATATGGAGGCTTCCCTCCTTGCAAAGTATTTTTTTTTTTTTTGAGTTGGAGTCTCACTCCGTCACCCAGACTCCCGGCCACCGCAGCCTCGACCTGCTGGGCTCCGGCGATCCTTCCACCTCAGCCTTCCAAGTAAGCCGGAATTACAGGCGCACGCTACCACGCCCGGTTAATTTTTTGATTTATTGTAGAGATGAGGTCTCACCAAGTTGCCCAGGTGGGTCTCAAACCCGCGGGCTCAGGCAATCCACTCACCTCGCAGGATTACAGGCTGAGCCACCAAGCCCGGCCTGCAAAGTATTTTTATAAGTAAAATAAATAAATGACTCAAATAGGCCCATTGAAAACCACTCGGCAGTTTCTTCCTCCACACAGACCCAAGGAGCAGAAATGGGCTGCATGTGTTGAACTTTAGCAGCCACTGGAAAATGCCTGTGGGAAAGTAGCGTGTAACAAATTGCCCATTTGGGCAAATTGAGTTTTGGCCAAACTGGTGTTTGGCAGATTGGTTCTGGGAAACTGAACTGGCCAGAGGAAAGGGAAGCAAAGTGGCTGGATTCCAGAAACTCGAGAGAGACGTTGGCAGGTGCACGGACTGACACTGGCCAGAAGTGCAGGATGAAGGGTGGCTGGCGAGGCCGTCACTGGCGAAGGGGGCAAGGGGGCTGAAGACGACTCAAGCAGCCCTTCCAGGCCGACCCCAAACCTCGGCCTCCTCTCAACCCCCTCCCCCCACACCTCCTCACCGTTATTGTGCCCCTCGCAGAGCAACTGCAGGAACCGGAACAAATCTTGTGTGAATTCATCATCTGCCATGACCTTCTCTCCTGGGTGGGAGTGAGGGGGCAGGGCCCAGGAGGGGTCTGAGGCACCGAGCCAGACCACACATGCACATGGCCCATGCACACTGCACACGCATGCACAGAGCATGGGGGTACTGGAGGAGCAGCCACCACTTCAAAGACACTCTGAGGGCCGTGGCATCCATGACAGAGGGGGTCACGATTTCAAAGTCCATGACATCAGCAGATGGGAAACCGGAGGGGCCCTGAGTCATGAAGCCAGGGCCTCAAGTGTCTCTACAACATCAATGCTCCTCTGATGTCACCACTTGTGTGACATCTGGGAGTGTCTGCCAACCCAGCAGACATTCAGGAAGTTGGTGTCACCCTCAGCCCCCCTCCAGGCCATGGGGGTTAATGGGTTACGGGTTGGGGGTCACTTTCACACAAAGGCTCCGAGCAAGGGCAGATGGGCTGGGGTAAGAGACGGGAGTTGAAAGCCAGCCAGTTGGCCCAGAAGCCTTGAAAGCAGCCAATCCAGGAGAAGCAGGGGGGAGTGTGTGAACACGGGCATCTGAATGGGCATCTGAAAGAAGCCAATCACGGTGGGCTGCTTGGAGAGGAGGCCAGACCGCGAATGGGCCAGTCAGAGCAGGTGCAGAGGAGGCACGCACACCAATCCGTGGATGCTGGGGGCAACCAATCCGGTTGGTGGATGGGAACCGCTGACCGACCCATCTGGGGTGGGGGCCAGAAGGAAGAGTAGGTGGGAGGGGGGATCACCCCGCAGGGGGACTGCGAATCTGGGTCTGGAAGTCCGAGCATATCCAGCTGCAAAGAGATCTTTGCCATCGTCTCTTCTCTTGCCATTTGGCACACGGGGAAATTGACACTTAGGGAAGGTAAGAGACTGGTTCCCAGGCCCGTGTGCTGTCGGCGGCTAACCTGAGACCCGATTCTCGGTCTCTGGCCTCCAGGCCTCCAGACTCGGCACTGGCACAGCCCGCCCGCCGAAAGGTCCCTCCCTCCCCTGCACGTCCCAGATCCTCAGCCCCCCGTGGTGGGGCGGGTGGGGGCGAGGAGGGGCAGGGGCCAGCAGCACAGCAAGGGGGTGGGCTGGAGGAATTACCGTTCTGGCGATTGATGACTGGGGCAGCCAACAGGATGGGAGGAGGAAGCAGGAGAAAAGAGAGAAAAAGAGACAGACGAAGACGGAGACAGGGAAGGCAAACACAGTGACACCGTTGGGGACAAAGACACAGAAAGACGCAGACACGGAGATAGAAACCACCACAGAGAGAAAGGCAGAATGATGAGGAGACAGGAGGAAGTGGATCCGCAAGGAAGAGAGGAAGAAAAGAGGGAAAAGGAGGGACAGACGGAGAGATGGGGGTGGATAGGCAGGAGGCGGGACCAGGTCGAGAGGTTAGACACGTCACAACACGGCAAAGAGGAGACGTGATTAACCCGGATTAGGGACATTAATAAGAGAACAGCAACCAGGGCCCAAGACTTGGGGCACGTGGAGGGCGGGGCCTGTGGCGATGGCTGAGAGGACACAGGACAGAGCGACTCCCAGGGAGACCCCAGGGCCATGGAGAGGGCGGGGCTGGGGGCCACGGCGGGGGAGGAACCCGAGGGAGCCCTTGGGGATGGGGTGTCATGGAGGGGGGCGCTCTGGGCAACGGCCGGAGTGGGGGAGGGGGGAATGGGTGGGAATCCTGAAGGAAGATGTCGTCCCAGGGAGAGGGAAGCCCGAGACAGGGCCTCACCAGTTCCATCTTCGTTCACCATGCCCAGCCCCTCTGCCTTGTTCTGTCTCTCGAAGGCGTTGAGATCCAGGACACTGAGGGAAAGGAAGGAAAGCCGGGATGGATGAGGCCTCTGTCCCCTCTCTAGGACCTGGCAGCTTCCAGTGGGGAGGGCTGGAGAGCCACCATCACTCATGTAGGTGCTGAAACCAGGAGAAGGCAGAAGCAAAGAGCTGGGAGAAGCTGTGACGTGGCAGCTGTGAAGCAAGGTAGGGCCAGGGAAATAGACGCATCAATCAGCAAAAGCTACAGCGGGCTGGAAAAAGCCAGCTGACAGCAAGAGGTGACCCAGACAACAGTAGAGCCATAGTAATAGGCATCAGCAGAGGGAGCTGAGTTCTCCATTGCCAAGTTCCCCTTGAATTCTCAACAACTTTCTGGTTCCACTATCTGGAATGCATAATACAACTCATTTTATTTTATTTTATTGAGTTGGAGTCTCACTCTGTTGCCCAGACTGGCGTGCAGTGACCGCTCCCAGCCACCGCAGCCTTGACCTGCTGGGCTCCGGCGATCCTTCCGCCTCAGCCTTCCGAGTAGCCGGAAATACAGGCACGCGCTACCATGCCCGGCTGATTTTTTAATTTATTGTAGAGATGAGGTCTCGCCAAGTTGCCCAGGCAGGTCTCGAACCCGCGGGCTCAGGCCATCCACTCACCTCAGTCTCCTGAAGCACAGGATTATAGGCTGAGCCACTGAGCCTGGCTAACTCATTTTATTTTTAAAAAATTTTCTTTTTTGTAGAGATGGGGTCTTCTGTGTTGCCTAGGCTTGTTTCAAACTCCTGGCCTCAAGCAGCCTTCTGGCCTTGGCCTCCCAAAGTGCTGGAATTACAGGTGTGAGCCACCACACCTAACCCATAATACGACTCATTCTTTTTTTCCCTCTGCCTCCTTGCCCTGCCATTACCCAATTCTTTTTTTTTTTTTTTTTGAGTTGGAGTCTCACTCTGTCACCCAGACTGGAGTGCAGTGGCCGCTCCCAGCTACCGCAGCCTCGACCTGCTGGGCTCCAGCGATCCTTCCGCCTCAGCCTTCCAAGTAGCTGGAACTACAGGCGTGCGCTACCACGCCCAGCTAATTTCTGATTTATTGTAGAGATGAGGTCTCGCCAAGTTGCCCAGGTGGGTCTTGAACCCGCGGGCTCAGGCAATCCACTCACCTCAGCCTCCCAAAGGCGCGGGTTACAGGCTGAGCCACCGAGCCCGGCTATTACCCAATTCTTAAAGCCCGTGACATTTTGCCTCCTTTATTGTGCTACATTAATTCATATAATAAATTCCTTGTTGAGCTACTCTCAGTGGGTCTCTCTTCCTGGACCAAGAGAGAATTAGATCTGAAAACGGTACCAGGAGTGGGGACAAGGCTGCACCAAACAGAGCTTAACTAGAAGCTGTTCTCTAGAAGTACCTGCATGTTTGCATCAGTGCCTGGATACTCTGGAAGAAGCCGACCTCTTTCTTGTCCTTCAGATAATCCAGCATTTTCTGCAGTGGGGGCAGCAGAGGACGGGGGCCTGGGAGTCACCCCAGAACCTCCCACCCCTTCAGCCCTCCTCCCAAGTCACTTCGCCTCTGTTACCTGCTGCACCTCAGCATTGCCTCCATTGAGGATGGAGATGCCCAGCTTCAGGGTGGAGGATACCATGGCACCTGTCTCTCCTGGAGGCGGTGGAGAGAGGACAAAAGATGGTCTGCCCAGTTTGGGGGCAGCATGTCCCACCCACCAGAAAACAGCCATCCCAGGGGAGGCGAGAGCGGGGCTGGAAGGGCGTGCACAGGTATGCAAGGCAGGTACGTAAGGGAGCCCTGCCAGGGCTGGTGTGAGTGGTCGGCCAATGCGCCCAAGGGGAGCAGGTTGGCCGGGGAGGTTGAGGCTGAACGCTCTGTGCAGGACACCTTTGCAGGCGCTGATCATCTGAAGCACCATCTCTGCCGCCCCCCGGTTGTGCAGCCGTGCCTGCTGGTACAGGAGCCTCTGCTTCTCCATCTCTTTCTCCTGGGCGGAGAGGCAAACCCCCGGGGCGGGTGAGTCCAGGCTCACCAGCCCAGCCTTCTCCCTCACAGCCTTGGCCCGCACTCCTGCCCGCCCTGCCACGACTCCCTCCTTCTGCTGTGAGCTCCCTCCATCCCCTGAGCTAATATCCTTGACTTGTCTCCTGGACCCAGCATGGGGCCAGGCAGGGAGAAAGAGCTACATGGATCAGGGTTGAGCAAGGAAAAGTCCTAACCTGGGCCCACGGACCTCCCAGGGGTCAGTGGACAAGGTCTAGGCCATCTGTGAACTTAGATCATTAAAAAAAGTCTCATGTTTCCCATCCTCTGCATAATGGAAGGAAATAGATGAGGCCGTAAATCACAGCAATATTAGCACAACCCGTGACTTTGTCGCCAATAAAAATCACAGATGTTTCCATAACACATTAGCATCGCAACAGACATCTTGAAACATCACTCATGTTCATCACCACTTCTCAATTACTGTAGTTATTGAACCCACTGCTGGGTCTTGTTATTTGATAGATTTATTTTATTTATTTTTGCTTCAGAGTCTCTGTCATCCAGGCTGGAGTGCAGTGACACGCTCATAGCTACCGCAGCCTCAACCTTCTGCCTCAGCCTTCCAAGTAGCTGGAACTAGAGAAGCACCACCATGCCCAGCTAATTTTTTTTTATTTATTGTAAAGATGAGGTCTCATCATGTTGTTCAGGCTGGTCTTGAACCCCTGCTCAGACAATCCTCCCACCTTCGTGTCCCAAAGTGCTGGGATTACAGATGTGAGCCATCGCACCCGGCGACAGATTCATTTTTAAATGTACACATATTGCTGTATCACTAATTTTTAAAAAATATTTTAGTAACTATTTCATACTTGCTTCCTCTACTATGAATTCATTTTATCCTTTAAAAACATGATTCTGAGAAAGGCTTCACAGAGGCCAGAAGTGACCCTGACCTCTGAAGTAAATGCTTCAAAAAGGTTAAAGAACTCTGAGGTACACTCTTGTCAACTGCCTTAATAAATGGATTGGCTAATTGCACATATACCGGCTCTTTCTCATTGCCTGGCCTTTGCATAGGCTATTTCCCTACCCAGAACACTTTTCTCTTGCTGGCATACTCCTTTTATCCCTCTGCTCAGACATCCCCTCCTCTGAGAAGCCCTCCCTGACACCTTTTCCCATCTTGCCTGGGCTGCTGTACCATAAGATTCCCCCATCCTGGTCCTGACCCCTCTGCCTGTGCCCAAATTCCACCCTTATCCCCCACCCCCACCACCACCATGGTGAATCCTCTGTGCTGTTACTGTTTGGCTGAAGTGTCTGTCTCCCTGTGGACTGACTTGGTCACTGCTCTGTGACCACCCTGTGAACTCGTGCTGAAGGCATCGGAGATGATTGAAGCCAGCGTCCCTCACCCCTCTCCTCCAGAACCTCAGGATCCACCTACCTCAAAGGAAGCCTCAGCTTCCTCTTCCTCACCTTCGCTGTTCTCCCCTCCCTCCTCCAGGTGGCAACTCTGGGGAGGGGGTATGAGTTAAGGGATGGTAGGGAACAAAGGAGATGCCCCAGTGCTGCCCAGCTCTTCTCGTGGACATCGCAGCTGGGAGAAGGAAGGGACCCTGGATGGAACAGGGCCTCACCTTCGCCATGATGTCAGCATATGCCATGTACAAGTAATCCTCATCCAGTTTGCTGGGGAAGGAAACAGGGAGGTAGTTAGGAACCCGTGGAGAGGACCCTCTTAGGAGAGCCCACGCTGTGTGGTTCAGGTGGCGTGGACTGCCCACTGCCTGGGCAGTATGTGTGGAAGGCAGAGCCAAGGAGGACTTGATCTAGTTGGGCACAACCACTGGTAAGAGATGATCACGTGGCCCAGGGTGGGCCAATGGGATTCATTCTGGGGGTTTTGCTGGACCTCTTAGTGCAGGCACTGTCTGTCCACTGTGATGCTACAATGTTGCGACAGGAGGCTGGAATGTCCAGAGCTGTCTTGCCACCTCCTGGCCATCTAACAACGATGGCCAGCCACTTTCTCTTGGCGTCCTCTAAGGTGGCCAACATGCCCTGAGTGTCTACACTAGCACTAAGTAATTCCCTGTTCCAAGTGCTTCCTGTATGTCAGCACACTGATCCACACAGGCCTCCTGTTGGGTGGGCATATATCACTAGTCCTGTTTCACAGATGGGACTGTCACACAAAGGTCCTTTTGGGCTGGGGTCACACAGCTTGCGCTGGGGCTCGACCCAGAGAGTCTAACTCCAAAGCCTTTGCTTGCCCACTGCATGGAAAACAGGGTGCTCAACTTCCTAGTCTCCCTGACAGCCAGTGGTGGCCTGATGCCAGAATTCTGACCAATGGGAAAGCAAGCTTTTCCCCTTCTTTCTGCCTGGCATGTGGGCGTGATGCTTGCAAGGGCGGCGTCTCCCTGGTGACCACAGATAAGAATCTAAGAAGGGCAGAGGAGGAAGCCAGGAAGCCTGGGTCCCTGTCGGCACCATTGTGCCACAGCCCAGCCCTGGACACTCTAGCTCCCGACATCACGCTATGCAAGAACAACAAATCGCTGTGCTTCCCTTTCCTCATCCACAAAAAGGAGCTGAAATTGGATCCGTCTCATGGTGTGAAGATTAAGTGATAGGCTACAGATGTCAAGAGCTTAGCACAGTGCCTGCCACATAATATGCACTTGATGAATGTTGTCAATTATTACTACCAGCGGTAGCAGTGCAGCTGGCCCATCCGGGTGACTGTTATTTACTACTAAGCCTGCTATTAGCCCATAGGAAGCCTTTGAGTGAATTAGAAAAAGTCCCCTGCCATTTCCATCTGTTGGAAATTTGCGCCGTGTATTGATTTTTTTTCGTAATAGACTGACTTTGAGCAAGACACTTTCTTCTGGAAAAGTCTAGTAAATCTACATGGTCTGTGATGCAAACCCCCTAGACAAGATGCCTCTTGGCAAGTGCTCAGCCCACACAACTGCTACGGTGGCCTTGCCTGTCCTAGTAAAGTGACGTCTAAAGAGCAGCCATGCCCCAACCCCCGGACACAGAGAGCCTCTCTTGAGGGACTGGGAGGTTGCTGAGATTGAAACAGGGCAGGGAATCGGGTCTCTTTGCCAGGAATTTGTGGGCATTTCTGAGACCCTGCAAGGGTCCTTACCTCTTTTCAGTTAGGGCAGTGCGGCTGAAGTGCAGAACCAGTTGGTGCAGGGGGTCTGGTTTCTTTTCCTCCACTTCTTCTTCTTCTTCCTCCTGCTCTCCAGCTTTCTGGGGAGGGGTGAAACTTGGGGGATGGGTTTCCAGAATCCCTTCCAGTCACCTGCTCCCCACAGCCCTGCTGGGCTGGATTATGTTCTTATTTATTTAGAGACAGGTTCTTGCTTTGCCACCCAGACTGTACAGCGGAGCTATGACTAGCTCACTGCAGCCTGGAACTCCTGGCCTCAAGTGATCCTCCCGCCTCAGCCTCCCAAAGTGCTGGGATTACAGGTATGAGCCACCCTGCCTGGCCTGGATTTTTTTCTCTTCTCCTACCTCCTGCACCTTACCTTGGTTTAACCCAAGCCATTTCTCTACCCTTCGATGTGGGGGTGACCCCTGGAGGTGTACCAAGAGTGGCTTGGGCCCTAAGTCCAACCCAGCTCTTCCCCCATGCCCCCAGGCAGGCCCCAGCTCACTGAAAGGTCATCTATCATGCGGTCCTCAAAACTGTGGTCTTCAGTCAGGATCCAAGCAGCCTTATAGCTCTCCAGAAACATGTTACAGGCCCGGTGCCTGCAGGGAAATGTCCGGGAGTCACTGAGATGCCTCCTGCTCCACACTCTGCTGACCTCCACGCATCTGCCACCCCCGACCACCCCAAGACCCCATCGTGCTGGTACGCCATCATCTGGACTCCCCAGCCTCCCTCCCTCCAGGCCCCTCGAGCGCCCCTTCTGCTGGAGGCCTTACGTGGGCAGGTTGTACAGGGGCGTCATGCGGAAACAGGCCACGACTGCCCGCCGGCGCTGCTTGGACAAAAGCTTGTGCCACACAGCCTTCTTGGACTTGTAAGGGTGCTCGATCTGGGGGGTGGGACAGTCTGTCACCCCCCCAGACCCTGCCTCTAGCCTGATTTCCACTCTCAGCCCCGGGCGAAACCGCCATCGATGCCATGTCCACATTCAAGCCCAACACACGAGGCAGACGGAATCCTGGCTCCATCCACAGAGTCGAGCAAGTTCTGGCTGGCCTCCAAGCCTGAGTTCCCATCCTAGACAGAGTTCACAAAACCAGGGCCACTCCCCAGGCCCCGCCTCCATGTCGAGGCTCCACCCACAGACTCAAGTTATCTCGACTTGGCCCCACCCCCACCCCCAGACTCCTGATTCAGCAGTAGGTCCCTTCCCCAGACCCAAGTTTCCAATCGAAACCGCGCCTTAAGCTCACGGCTCCACCTCCTGCCCCGCCCCCCAACTTGAAATTCACGTCTAGCTCCGCCCACCGACTCAAGGCCCGCCCCAGGCCCGCCCCAAGACCCGAGCTTGAGCCAATCAACAACCGGACCCCGCCCCTCCCCCCACCCCGGCCCCACGCACCTGGTCCAGGTGGTAGAGCACCGCAGACACTTCCTGGACTCTGCGCACGATTTTCTCGGGGTCGTCGGCGTCCTCCTCGCGGCCCGGGAGGCCCCGGTACAGGGCCATCTGCCAGCGCAGAGACGGGGAGCCCTCGACCTCGGGGGGGAAGGAGGGACTGTGGGCGTGCGGGCACCGCCCCTGCCGGGTTTCTCTGAGGGTCCCCCGCATGGTGTCGGCTTCTCCGGCTGCCCCGCCCTTCGGGGTCGTGGGGTTCAATGGCTGAGCGCCTGCTGAGGTCCGTCCTCAATGCCTGGTGCATGAGTGCTCAAACGCTCGCTAATATGGCGGTGATTACTCTGACCCGCCCCTTTGGGTTGTAGATGAAGGGGGCATACCTTTCCCTGAAGGTGAAGGTTGTTTTGCAGAAATTCCCGCACCTCTTCATCTGTGTCTTTCTGCAGAGACATGGTCAGGCTGGGTCACTCTGGAGGTCCCATCCCCTCCTTGACCCAAAGCACTTTCCCTTCTAGGCCCGCCACCCCCTGGACTTGGCAAGGGCTTTTGTGGGGACCCAAGATAAACTGAACGGATCCGAAGGTGGTCAGTGGTCAGAGAGGAGTCCTAGAGTTGGCCAGAGGGCCATGTTGAACAGTGGAAGGATCTGAGGGTCCTCACGGGTGTCTGAGAGGAGGTGGGGGGGACAAGAGGTCATGAAAGGTCAAATCAGGCCAAAGAGGGAGTCAGGGGGAAAGAGGGTCCGAGTGGGGCAGAGGGTGTGTGAAGACCAGAAGTGGTGAGGGGTTAAAATGGGCGATCGGCCAGGTCAGTGGAGGTCACAGAGGGCCAGGCAGGTCAGCTGAGTCGCTGGTTACGCAGGGGCCAAAGGTGGGCTCAGCAGGCCAGGGGCTCACTAGGGTTCCAGGAGAGAAAGCAAACAGGACCAAGGTGAAGGACAGGAAGCCCTGGAGGGCTTTTGGGGGTCCTGGCAGGACTCAGTGGGTCCTAGGAGGAGTTGAGGTCCTGAGGACAGGGGCCTTGGGACTTCTGGAAAGGAGTCCTAGTGACACTAGGGGAGGAGCCAGTGGTCTTCAGGGCCCCAGGGGTGGGCAGGTTGTAAGGATGCTAAACAAAGTCCTAGCAGAGAGGGTTATAGGGCTCTCAGGGAGAATCCTAGGAGGGCTCCTTAGGGTCCCTGAGGTTTGGGGCAGATTATCTTTGCTGTCCCATGCAAGGGGTGAGTGGGGTCCTGGAGGCCTCCTTGCAACCCCAGAGAGCTTAAGGGGTTCTGGGGCCAAGGTCAGTTGATCTCCAAGATCCTTGAGCCCTCAGAGATTTACGCGTGGCCCAGGGGAAGGGGCTATTAGGATCCTGGGGACGCTACTCGGTGTCACAGGGAGAGTACTTGGGGACTCAGCTGGGTGTCAGGGTCCCGAAGGAAAGGTAAGGTGAGCAGGAAGGTTCAGTAGGAACCTAGGCGTTCAGTCCTGAGGGGATGGGGAAGTCAGGGGGGGGTCACCAGGGACTCAGTGGGTCCCAAGGGGTCTTGAAGGGTCTTAGTGGAGGGCTCAGAGGAGTCTTGGGAGGCTAACAGTATCTTGTTGGGGGTCTTCAAGGTCTCAGCGGGTTTGGCATGGTCCTAGGGGGTGGCTGGTGGGGTCCTGCAGAGCTCATAGGGTCCCGGGGTTCTCAGAGGCATTTCTGGGGTTCTTGGGGACCCAGGTAGGGTCCTTAGGCCTGTGGGGCCCTGGGACTATCTTGAGTGGGGTCCGCAGCATCCCCAAGGGGAAGGCTCAGGGCATCCCAGAAGGCTCAGGGAGTCCTCCGCGTCCCTGAGAGAGACTCAGTAGGATTCTAAGGAAGGCTTCCCAGGGAGCTGGGGGCTCAGGGGGGTGGCGGGTGGGATGTTGGCAGGCTCCCGGGGGGGCTGGACAGGCACCAGGGCATAGCGGGTCTTGGCCAGTGTGATGAGGTCCTGGTCAGTGGGTGCACACATGTTCAGGCCAATGGGCAGCATCTTTTTCAGCGTTGCGACAATCAGTGATGTCTGCACAGAGTAGCGGTCTCCTCGGCGCTTCTTCTTGGTACGTTCCTGGTCCGAGCCACCGGACTGTGGGGACACAGGGCTCAGCACCAGTCCGAGTCCCAGCCCTAGGCCTCAGCCCCAACCTGCAGCCGCCGTCGCCATTCCAGCCCCCAGCCTGGATACCAAGAACCCCCTCCTCCACAGCCTCCAAGCTCACCTCAGTTTCCAGCCCAGACCTCACTGATCCTTGACCTCAGACCTGCAGCCCTGACTGCACACCCTTCCAGACCCAAGCCCACATCCCCAGTTCCCAAATCCTTTTGTTTTTAACTTTTTATTTCAAGACACAGCGTCTCACTACGTTGCCCAGGCTGGACTCGGACTCTTGGGCTCAAGTAATCCTTCTGCCTCAGCCTTCCAAGTGGTGGGACCACAGGTGTGCACCACCATGCCTGGTTTCAATTTTGAATCCAAACCCTTCCAGATTTTCCCCAGTTCTGGACTTTTCTCAACTCCTGGCAGGCCTCTCCCAGCATCTCCCCAGAACTCCCAGGACGATACCCCCTTCTACAACATGCACAACCCCACACTTCATAGCTCAAGTCCAAGTTCCCAAGAAGAGAATAAAGATGCACACCCACAAAGAGTCAAGAGCCAAGAGAAGTTGGAAGAAGAGGAGAGACACAACTGGGCGTGGTGGCTCACGCCTGTCAGCCCGGCACTTTGGGAGGCGTAGGCGAGAGGACTGCCTGAGTCCAGGGGTTCGAGACCAGCCTGGGCAGCCTGGCAAGACCTCGTCACTACAAGAAATCAAAAAATTAGCTGGGTGTGGTGGAGCCTGTGGTTCAGCTACTAGGAAGGCTGAGGTGAAAGGATCTCCTGAGCCCAGCAGGTCGAGGCTGTGGTGGCCATGAGCGTGCCGCTGCACTCCAGCCTGGGTGACAGTGAGACTCCGACGCGAAAGAGAAAAAAAAAAAAGGAAAGACACTGAGAGACTGAAACAGACAAGGATAGGAGACAGAAGATGCAAGAGACATCCAGAAAGATCTGGAAGCAGAGACACCGGGCACAGAGCCCCACAGCCGTGTTCTGGAGCCTTGGGTGCAGACCCACGGCCAGGGCCACCCCATGACAAGCTTCGGCCAGAGCCACATCCATGCCGGCTGGCAACACCGAGCATGACCCGCGCCTGACACTGCGGATGGCCGCACATGCAGCATCCCACTGAGTCCCCGCAGAGGCCCTGGGTGGAGGTCGCCAGCTGGATGCCATCAGGGGCTCAGAAGGATGACACTCGACTGTGGTCACAGAGCTAACCACCAATGCAGGATTTGAACCCCAGTCTGCCTGACTCCAGAGCCCAAGCCTTAAACCACCGCACGGCGAGAGTGCTGCCTTCCGACCATGCGCTGCGTGTCTCCCCGGCCCCATCCCCCTTGACCTCAGCCCACGATGCTTTGGAGAAAGCTGAGAGTTGCGCTTTATTTATTTTTTTTTTTTGGTAACAAAAGTCCAAAAAAAAAAGAAATCAAATTGCCAAAAGCTGAGGGTTGGGGATGGGGGGTTGGAGAAGTAAAGAAAAGTGGGAGCAGGGTGGGGGGTGTGCAGAGGCAGGGCTTTCAGGGAAGAGGGTATTAGCCAAGAGACATGCGGAAGGTCCCAGATGTGGGGCTGACCTGTACATCTCCCGCCTGCTTCACCGGATCGCAGACAGAGATAAGAGAATTACCCCAGCCCCGCAGAGAAGTCCAAAGCCCAGGCCCACCTCCAAGCGGCCAGCCCTCCACCCCACCTGCCACAGGTCCCCTAGCTGGACATTGCAGGCCTTGCCTGGGGGTGGGCGGGCTTGGTCTTTAAGGCCCTGGGTGGGGCAGTTCTGAGGATGGGGAGGAGAATGAGGAGGGAGGGAGGAGATGGGTGACGGAAGAGGGAGATGAGGGGAGGAGGGAGAAGGGGTGAGGGGCTCCTCTGGGTGCTGCAAGGAATGTGGCCAGGGCAGGACAGGCTAGCTGGGCGAGGAGGGGTCTGGTAGGGAGCTCTGGAGGGTGCTCCCTCCCACCCTGCTAAGTACTCCTCCCATAACCCAGAGCCTACCTTGGCCATCTTGCTCTTGTTGTCAGCCGTCAGGAAGGACATGTTGTTGATCTCATTCTGGACCACAAAGTTCTGCTCCTCACGCTTGAAGTTCTGTGGGGGAGCAGTGTTGGAACCAAATGGGTGAGGGTGGGCGCCTGTGGGCAGCGGCTCCTGTGTTCCTGGAGAAGGGGCCGTGTGGGTGGGCACTCACGTGGGACTTGGACCAGTAGATGAAGATCTCGCCCACCATCCTGAAGAGCTCCTCAGCGCTGGGATCGGGCTCCGTCAGCCAGTGTGCCCTGGGTCAGGCAAAGGGACCAGTGGAGTATGGGGTGAGGATCCCAGGGAAGAGCCACACAGGGAGACCTCAGGGTAGGACGACCAGGGGACATCCAGTTGGAGGGATGGAGTTTTCCAGAGAAACCTGGCCATTCGGATGAATACTTAAAAATTTAAAATGAGGCCAGGCATGGTGGCTCATGCCTGTAAACTCCACACTTTGGGAGGCCAAGGTGGGAAGATGGCTTGAGGTCACAAGTTCAAGACTACAAAATATAAAAACATTAGCTGAGCATGGTGACAAGCACCTGTAGTTCTAGCTAGTCAGGAGGCTGAGGCAGGAGGATTGCCCAGCAGGTCGAAGCTGCAGTGAGCCATGATGATGCTACTGCACTTCAGCCTGTACAGGAGTGAGACTCCAACTCGAAAAAAAAATTTTTTTTAATGACTATTCCTTTTAGAAAATGGTTTCTCTTTCTCTAACCTTTTAATTGAAATACACACATATCATACATACATTCTTATAATACACACATATCAAGTGTCAACTTGATGAATTATCACAAAAGGCGCATACTTGCATGCCACCACCCAAGTCAAGAAATAGAACATTCTGGTCCCCGGAAGCACCCTCGTATCCTTCCTCCTCCCGAAAGACAGCCCTTGCCTGACTTCTAGGCCATAAGTGATTTTCATCTGTTCTTGAACATTACATAAACCATGACATGCACTCTGTTGTTTGGTTCTCTGGCATCTTCCATCCAACCTAACATTTGTGAGATGCGTCCACATTGCTGTGTGCTGTAACTTGTTCCCTTTCACCATGGGGCAGTGTTCTGTTGTGTGGATATACCACAGTTTGTTCATATCCTCTGACCAGCACTCCCATTCCCAGGAAGTCATCTTGGAGCAGAACTCAACAGTGAGTACAGAAATGAATGTGTAAAGATGGGTCCTGCAACATTGTCAGTAACTGAGAAATCACAAGCAACTGAAATGGCCAGTCATGGGCAACTGGTTTAAAAAACTGAACTATATCCAACTGCATAGAATATCATACAACCACCAAGACAAAAGACAGGAATCTGGATATCTTTCATGGTGGATTATGGGCATGATGGCTTATGTCTGTAATCCCAACACTTTGGGAGGCCAAGGTCAAAGGACTGCTTGAGCCCAGGAGGGCAACATAGCTAGACCCAAATCAGAAAAGTTAGCTGGGTGTGATGGTGCATGCCCGTGGGGTGTGGGGATGCTGAGGAAGGAAGATTGTCTGAGCCCAGGAGGTCGAGGCTGCAGTGAGCTGTGATTGGGCCACAGCATTCCAGCCTGGGTGGCAGAGTGAGACGCTGAATCAAAAAAAAAAAGTTTAAAAAAAAAACCCCAAAAAACTCTCATGGTGGACTGTAACGTTAAAAAAAAGCAAACTGTTACACGGTCATATGTAATGACAGTGAAATGGACACAATCTCACTGTCCAGCATTAGGGGAACGATAAAAGACAAGGTACCCCTTCCCAGCCTGACAGGGCAGACGCCGAACTGGCCTATCTGGCCACCGCCCTCCTTTCCTGGTTAAGAGACCTCCATTTGGCTCAGACTCATCCCTCTCCCCCATCAGTCAGAATGAGATTCTGATGAGTCTACACCGAATACAAAATTCTCCCTCTCCTAAGCTTAAAGATTAGAAAAGTGGGCCATGGAGGAGGCGGACAGATAAAATGGCTTCCACGGAAGCCTGATTCTCTGGCTGGAAGGTGGCCATGTCATCGAATCTTCTGGTTGTGTGAGCTCCAAATCCCTCCCTTTCTGCTTAGACATGAAGGCAGAAACAAACTAGAATCGAGCTCACACACCTGGAAGGAAATGGAGATTTCCTCAGACACAACAGCATGTATAACCAGATTGTTTCTTTTTTTTTTTTTTTTTTTTTTTTTTTTTTTTTTTGATTTTTTTTATTTGATTTTATTTTTTTGGTAGAAATAAGGTCTTCCTATGTTGCTAGGCTGTTCTCCTGGGCTCAAGCAGTCCTCCCAACTCGACTTACAGGCTGAGCCACCATGCCCAGCTCATTTTGCCTTAAATATTTCAAAATCCATCCATGTCAACTTTGGAGCTTTACTTTTGCATGATATTATGATATTGCTCTTAAGGGCAAACTTTGATCGGTGGTCAAATTTCTAATTTTTGCTGTTTAACCATTTTTCTTGCTTTTGCTCTCTGATACCATATATTCCAGCCTGTTCAATGATTTATAATAAACTTCCAAGATGAAGGGAAATTTCTTGCTCATTGTTTGCCTGAAACCTTGGCTTATGTTCATCTTAGTAAACAAAAAATGGGCTCCAAAAATGTCCACAAGCTCAGCTACCAAAATTCCTTTAAAGGTCATCCTTCCTAGTGGTTCCATGGCGTGGGCCATCCTGAAGTATGCACACATGGGACTGCGCATCTTCTAGAAGGTTTCTAACGGTAAGGACAGGTCCGGGGAGCCAATGATTAAGCATAATTTTGCTGGCAAAACTTACATGGCTAAGCACAGCCCTGATGCGACACTGACATCTTTTTCAACCAGGATGTGACTTGAGGTGGAAACTGACTCTGCAACCCCTAGATTCAGCTGCACCTGGGAGTTAATGACCCATGAAATGGTGTTTCCAATTTTAGGGGGATGTTAGCCATTGGTTGACACCTGCACTGGTCCTTTTATTTACTATTTATGTTTCTGGGGAAAACCAGGCTGACCAGGTCTGGCCTCTCTTCTCTCTTGGAATGACAGAGGGAGGTCTGACCACTGGGCTTCCCTGCACACACCAGACATGCCTGACCATCCAGACCTGTGGACACTGTGCTGGGGGAGAATGTAGAACTTTTTTTTTTTTTTTTTTTTGAGTTGGGAGTCTTACTCTGTCGCCCAGGCTGGAGTGAAGTGGCGGATCACAGCTCACTGCCTTGACCTCCAAGGCTTAGGTGATTCTTCTACCTCAGCCTTCCGAGTAGCTGGGACTACAGGCTCGCGCCACCAGGCCTGGTTAATTTTTTAATTTTTTTGTAGAGACCAGCATCTTGCTATGTCGCCCAGGCTGGCCTCAAACTCCTGGGCCCAGGCGAGCCTCCTGCCTCAGCCTCCCAAAGTGCTGGGATTACAGGCGTGAGCCACTGGTCAAAGCCCGGAGGCCCCGGGAGGGAGGATCCGAGGCTGGGTGGGAGCTGGCATTGGTTCCTAGTCGGCCGGGGACGGGGACAGTGGGGGCTCCGGGAGGGGGGGGGCACCGACCTGTTGTTGTCCACGTAGCGGATGAGCAGCGGATACAGCGCGTACAGGTCGCGGCAGAGCACGGAGAACTCGTCGCGCACCAGCAGCTCGCCCTCCTCGGCCTCCGCCTTGGCCTCCAGGCGCAGCTGCTCCTCCTCGGCCACCACCTTCCCCGCGCGCTTGCGCAGCCGCCCGATGGTGGGGATGAAGTGGGAGCGCAGGAGCTCCGGCCGCGCGCGGCTCACGATGGGCTGGGCGAACACTGCGGGGCACAGGCCGCTGGACCCCACCGCGGACACCTCTGTGCCCGGCCCAAGACCCCCGGCCTGCGCCGCCGAGCCAGCAGCTATCGCTCGACCCCAGCCTGACCCTGACCTTGGACCTAGCCCCGAACACTGACCCCAGCCACAGCCCCTGACCTGAAACCTACAATCCCGGCCCCACCCTCGGACCGCAGCCCGGCACAAATCCCTGACTTCTGACCCAACGACGGGATCGTCACCTGGTATCCCTGGGACCCCTACCCAGCATGACTTCTGACCTCGCTTTTTATTGTTTTGTTTTTATTTTTAGAGTTGGAGTCTCACTCTGTCACCCAGAGTGGAGGGCAGGAGCACGCTCCCAGCCACTCAGCGTCGACCAGCTGGGCTCAGGCGATGCTTCCGCCTCAGCCTTCCGAGTAGCTGGAACTACAGGCATGTGCCACCACGCCCAGCCAATTTTTTTAATTTATTGTAGAGATGCGGTCTCACCAAGTTGCCCAGACTGGTCTCGAACCCATAGGCTCAGGCAGTCCTCTCACCTCAGCCTCCCAAAGTGCTGGGACTACAGGTGCAAGCCATCACGTCCAGCCCTGACCTCACTTTTTAACCTCTAACGGGGCTCATGCCCAGACTCTTACCTCACTATGTGATTTCTGACTATGATCCTTGGCTTTTTACCCCAGCCTCTGACCTCTGACCCTGGCCTCGGGTCCCAGTCCCTGATCTCCAACTTGACCTGATTCCTAACCCCGAACTTTTACGTGAACTTCTGAACAGGAATCCCAACACTTTAAAGACCCACTTAGGAAGTCTTCCTGAGCCTACTCTGGTTTGGGAGGCTGCCCAATTAAAAAATAATAATAATAAATAAGGAACCATTTTTTTTTTTTTTGAGTCAGCGTCTCACTCTGTCACCCAGGCTAGAATGCAGTGGCACCATCACATCTCACTGCAGCCTCAACCTGCTGGGCTCAGGTGATCTTTCTGCCACAGCCTTCCAGGTAGCTGGGACTACAGATGCGTGCCACCATGCCCAGCTAATTTCTTGACTTTTTGTAGAGACGATGTCTCACTATGTTGCCCAGACTGGTCTCAAACTGCTGGGCTCAAGTAATCCTCTTGCCTTGGCCTCCCAAAGTGCTGGGATTACAGGCATGAGCTACCACACCTGGCCAAGACTCATTTATTGACCTCTGTCCTAGAACCCCAACTGTCCAGAGGCCTGACTCGGTCCTCTGACCCTCTGCATAAGGAACTCAGACTCCTAGCCCCTGACCTAACTCTCTCCGAGGCCCCAGAAATTCAGAATCCCATCCTGGAGAACTCCTAGGACCACCCCAGACCCCAGAAACTTGAGATTCTGACCTCTGGTCTTTTTTGGGGCAGGACAGGGGAACAAGGTCTTGTTTTCTTGTCCACGCTAGAGTGCAGTGATGCAATCAGAGCTCACAGCAACCTTAAACTCCTGGGCTCCAGGGATCCTCCCACCTCAGCCTCCTGAGAAGCTGGGACTACAGATACACACAACCATGTCTGGCTAATTTTTTGAGTTTTTGTAGAGTTGAGGTTTTGCTATACTGCTCAGGCTGGTCTCGAACTCCTGGGCTCCAGTGATCCTCCCTCTTCGGCCTCCCAAAGTGCTGGGATTACAGATATGAGCCACTGCACTTGGCCCAACCCCCTGGCCTTTTGACCTTGAGAACACCTACACTCTGACTGCTCCCAACTCCCAGGAGACCACAGACCTCCCCGGCCTCCCTCTACGATCATCTGGCAGAGGGACTGCTGGCCGAGGGCCCACCCCTCAGAGGCCTAGCGCCTCCAGACGCACCTGCAAGCCGCTTCATCCATGAGGCCTCGTCGATGCCCAGGTTGTTGACGATGATCCGAAGGATATTTCCCAACAGGGAGTTGAGGTGGTCAGAGGTGACGGCGGTGCAGGGCGGGGGCGCTCCGGCAGGCAGGGCGGGCGGGGGCATCTCAGGCCCACGCTCCCACCAGCGGGGCAGGTAACTGCACAGCATGGGCAGTGTGATCTCGATGACGTGAGGCATCTCCGTGTAGCGGGCTCCTGACTCGGCCAGCCCCCCAATTTCAGCCATGAGCCGCTCCAGCACTGGGATGTCGGGGCACATCTCTTCCACGCTGTTGGGGAGCCCCAGGACTGGGGTACAGGGAGTGGTCAGGGCATGCCAAGCCTTCACCCCCAGACCCCAGGGCCCCGATCATCTCACAGCACCCCAGATATCACTGAAGTGCCACCAGGACTAGCATCCCAAGCCCTGTTCCTCTGACACCCCTTCCATCCCCACTACCTCTCCCAACTCTTACACTCAAACTCAGCGGCCCCCAAAACAGTACACATCCCCAAGCCTGTCTACTCCCTAAAATCTCCTGCCTGGAAACCTTCACTCCTAAAATCTCCCACATCCCAAGCCTGTTCCCCTGACTCTGCTATGCAGCATAGTGAGTCCCCTACATATGAACTTTCAAGTTGCAAACTTTCAAAGATGCGAACATGCATTTGCGTGTCTAATCGCATAAGTTAGTTTGCGGGTCTGGCATAGATCACCATGGGCGTGCATTCTCTCCAAGTGGCTGTGCTTTTGTGTACTTTACAGTATTTATTTCAAGCCCAGGATGTCTGGAAGCAAGAGTAAAAGCAGCAGTGGTGCCGCTGGTACCACACAGCCGACCGTGTCAGTTGGGTGCCTAGGCTAACTTTACTGGACTTTCAAACAAATTGGACTTACAAAAGTGCTCTCAGAACATAATCTGTTCATATGTAGGGGACTTGCTGTGCTCCAAAAGAAACCCTTTCCAACCCCATTCTGTCCCATCTTATCTCTCTGAGCCCCGTACTCCCATTCAGTCCCTTGAAACAGACAATCCCTTCCTCGCTCACTCACTCGCCTACTCTGAGTCAGAAGTTGTTCTGGGAGCACAGAAATAGCTGCAAAGCCAAGCTTTCTGCTCAGGAGCTTATCATCCTTGAGAGTCGTGCCTCACTGCACCCTCTGGACTGAGAGCTCAAGGGGTTTTTCTGTTCACCACTGGACCTCAGCTGCCAGGACAGCCCCTCCTACCTAGCAGGTGCTCGGTAAGTATTTGGTAAATGAATGAATGAACCCACACCTTCCCTCAATCCTCCCACAAAGACCCCTCACCCAAGGACACAGAAAAGTCCCTCTGTCCCCAAGCTTGATGAGGCCCCCAAATGTCACCATCACTAAAATAAGTCCCATGGCTCCAAGTTCCATCCCTGACCCCCTAATTCTCCTCGTATAACAGCTTCCACATGCCCCCATTCCCCGTCCCAGGGCCCTTACACACTGGGAGTCCCGAACGTGGGGCCCCTCCAATCTGGGGAATCCTCGGCCTCTCATAGCCCAGAAGGACCACCCCACCCCTGAAGCTGGCTCTCCCCAAGGCTCTGTGCCGGTAGGTCGCGACCCCCACAGCTGCCCGCCCCCCACCGCTTACTGGCCCGCTCGCGGGGAGACTTGGTGGTGTACACGGAGCAGGCGTTGTACTCGTTCAGCTGCGGCTCCAGGAACGCCACCGGCATGGCCGCTGCCAGACGGGCCAGGCACTCCCCGAGGGCTGGCCGCAGCCTGGAAGAGGAGGCTGCACTTAGCGCCCGCGTGTCCCCTCTTCGGGGTCCAGGGTCCCAGCCCCCTCCTCCATAGAAATGCTTCCTCCCAGAACCCTTTGGAGCGAAGCTGCAGGTCACCGGTGCGTGTCATTTGCTGAAACTTGAAAGATTTTTGCGTTGGGCTGAAACAGCTC